AGGGCAAGTGGTGATGGGCTGAGATTCACAATAAAACAAATGATTGGCGGTTTAAAGGGCTATATAACACCATTGTTGCATCATTGCCTCTCATTTTCACAACAGTTTGGAAACAGAGGAGACAAGCTGCTGGACTTTTAGAAGAAGAATGTTGTCTCATTCTTGTCTGATATTGGATTCTAGCTGTTCGGCAGTCATGGACGATCTTTGTTATATTTTTCATCTCTCGATGCTCCAGATGTTTTCAGTGTTTTCTGCTTTAAGCTTCAGTGTGTTGTGTGTTCAGGGATTTTCTTCTGCATACCTTGGTTGGTATGCAGAAAGTGTTTGTTTGAGTTACTCTTACCTTCCTATCAGCTTGAGGCAGTCTGGCCATTCTCCTCTGACCTCTGGCATCACCGAGGCATTTTTCACCTTTTTAGTGTTGTTTTTTTGTTTTTGTTTTTTTAATTATTAAAAAACCCTAGATATGTCTGTGCAGGAAAATCCCATTAGATAACCAGTTTCTGAAATGCTAACAAACATGCAGTGTTCAGAGTAAAATCTGTCTACATGCATTGAGCTGCTGCCATGTGATTGGCTGACTAGATAATTGCATTAATGAGCAGCTGAACAGGTGTAACTAATAAAGTTGCTCATCAATGTGTCTCTTCATAATATTTTATTCAGTCGTTTTCTGTCTCATTTAGCAGACTAAATAACTTTATTAACTAACTTTCTGTGTTACAGTTTGTACGATGCTGTGTCATCTCTGCTGAAGAACAAGATTCACAGATTGCCTGTAATTGACCCGCTGACGGGGAACACGCTCTATATTCTCACACACAAGAGGATTCTCAAGTTCTTGAAGCTTTTTGTAAGTCCCCCGGGGCTCCTCACCAACTCACCACACTGCAGCTGCATTAAGTACTTTAAATCATCTGCCATATTCATTTTTGTTTTGAATAGAGAAGAGTCTGCAGTTAAGTAGTCTGGGAATGTCTCATTTCCTTAACTAAAACACCCACAGTTTTTATTCAGTTATCTAAAATGCTTGTTATGTTTTCAGATAGCAGAGATGCCAAAACCCTCGTTCTTGAGGCAAACTTTAGAAGAACTGAATATCGGGACTTTCAAGAACATAGCAGTGGTCCGTGCAGACACACCGCTCTACACAGCTCTGGGTATTTTTGTTGAGCAGAGAGTGTCAGCGCTCCCTGTTGTTGATGACAAAGGTATGAGGACTGACTGAAATGATGCCCCTGTTGGTTTTCCATTAACCATCTCAGAAATCTTGAATTTTATGCTCCATTGTGCTGTGTCTGTCTCGCAGGTCGAGTGGTGGACATTTACTCAAAATTTGATGTTATAGTAAGTTATAAGCACTCACTGCATGCTGTTTAGGTGTCTCACCACCATCTGACAGGGCACGTTGTGCTGTCTGTGACACCATAAATGCACTCTTATGATGACAGTAAATCATGAACAATGCATTAGAAGCATCATATAAGAGCATGTCTTTTTACAGAATCTAGCAGCAGAGAAGACGTACAACAACCTGGATGTGACGGTGACCAAAGCCTTGCAGCACCGCTCACAGTACTTTGAAGGAGTGCTGACATGCAACAGGCATGACACCCTCGAGGCCATTATCAACAGACTGGTGGAGGCTGAGGTGAGAAGAGGATGTACACATTATTTGTTCACATTATCTACTGCATGTGTCAATCATCCACTATTTAAGCTCCTTATCATGCATAATCTGAGTAGCAGATTTTGAGCTTTAACTTTCAGTGTTTTGTCACTGCAGCTGTAGGAAAAATTAAATATTCATTAAAAGGGGACTTATTATGCCTTTCATTATGTTCTCTTTCCATCTATATAATATAAAAGTTTAAAATATTGAGGCCAGTTTAGGTAAAAGTATTCTCTCATGCTCTGTTTCAGAGTCGTCCCCCCCCCATTGTTAGGTCTGTATGATTTCAGTGAGAGGTGATATCCCTGTGATGGTCACTGTAGGAACACAGCTCTGCCTGTGACTATAGAAGCCTCACCCACCTGCTGTTCAAACATTCTGTTTGAGAGGTGCAGCAAATCAGGAGAAGGCTGGCTAAAGAGAGGGTGGCCTTAAAGGGAAAGATGCTAAAGCTGTTTGTTTCAGGCAGAGGAGAAATTCAGAGGCTGTATCAAGGCTCACTATGAGATGAATGAGGATTAGGATTATAATCAGTATTACCACATGTCTAATTAGCATATTACTACATTGTTTCAAAAAGAGGATAAACCGAGGGTTTGCAGCAAGGCCATGTAGATGGACAAAATAGGTATTGTTAAATTTGTGATTTATTCCAAACTACTCAGTTAAAGAACTAAGTATACATTAAAAAAAATCAGCACCATAATAAATAATAGCACACCCCCGTTTGCCTCACAGCAAGAACATCCTGCATTTGAATCCATGCCGGGGCCTTTTTGTGTGGTATTTGTGTGCACACCTCTTGTCATAATTGTTTCAAAACATAATTTGAAATCATATTAAAAAAAAACAACAACTCTTTGTTACTTCTGCTATCAAAGCTGCTGTCTGTGTACAGTTTGTCTTACACCAGTTTCTCTCCACGTTCCTTATGTAAAAATGGTACCTTGCTGAGATAAGTGTAACACCAACGATGTTCTTGTGTTCCCTGCAGGTGCACAGGCTGGTGGTAGTGGATGAGCACGAGGTGGTGAAGGGAATCGTCTCCCTTTCGGATATCCTCCAAGCCTTAGTGCTTACAGATAGAGAATAGAGTACGTACACTTCTGTACTGAAGCCTACCTTTTTTTTATTTTTTTTATATAAGGGGGATTCACTGAACATAAACTTGAAGTGATTATTTGATTTTTCTGCCTACAGGGACAAATTGGAAAAGTTACTCAAAAAATGAAAGGCTGCACATTTTAAAGGTGACACCAGAGCATAGGAGAGGAGATAACCAAGCCTGTAAGAGGGGAATTATGACAGCAAATGGAAGTTCTATCAATAATTTTTGTTTGTTTTGTTTTTTTTGTAATTTACCCATGAATAATTCTATTTGTCTACAGAAACCAAAATATTGTGAATTTTAAACTATATAAAATATTTTTTTGGTTCTACAGCTTATACAGAACCTCCTGTAAATTGAGCCAAATTTTGAGTCACTGGAAAACCAAGAAAGATGCAGAAGCACAAGAATCCTCTGGAGGGGAGCTGTAGCTGCTCAGGAATACCCAGCAACATATAGGACAGTTAGACGTTTCCAATAATAAAATAGTCTGTAACCTTACAGGAAAACTGATTTTCCTGTTTTGCCTTTTGCTGGCATCACTTTTCTTCTGCTCTAAAGCTGAAATCTACACAGATAAAGCCTGTCAATAGGGTGATTTTGAACTGTGCAGCTTGGATTGATCAGCACTCTCTTAACACATCAGAGCCTTTTCTGAGCCTTGTTCTCTGATTAAGTAAGTAGTAGTATGATGTTATTGATATTACTCCTCATTCAGTTAACTTGATTATATAAATGCTGGTAAAATAAATACATACATACATACAAACTACCATATTCAATTTGAACCACTTCACCCTTCCAATGTGCAACGACTTATTGAGTAGTTACCTCCACCAAGGTTTTTTGACCCGTTCCCCTGTACTTGATATATAAAACTGGGGCCAACATAAAAATCACTGACCTTTCAAACTCATTTGGTTTAAAAAAAAAATTATCTGGATGAAAGCTTTGGTGAAGGTGTGCAGCCTTAGACTGCCCTTTCTACTCAAGTATCAGCATCATGCAGTGGATACAGCCACTCAGTACCTTTCAGTTAAGAATGAACCATTATTTGGCCTGATAAGTTTTCCCCAAAACACCTGAATGAGGTTTCTGTAAAGAATCCAAGGCCTCAGAGTTCAATCTGTTGTGTAGCCAGACAGCCACGAAGCAAACCTGGAAGAGCACTTAGAGTGAAGTCTAAAATGAATTTGCTGTTGAAGACAACCATTAACTGTGCTGTATCCTCTTTGAGTGCTTGTCTCCGGATATTTATAGGTGTTATATTTTGCCATTGTAGTGTGTTGTCTTATAACTGCATGTGTAATGGATTCTATACTTTACTCAAGAGACAC